CAAAACAACTGAAGAGGAATAATAGCAGTGAAAACATAACAAATAACTGGTGATTAACAGACTTGATGTATAAATCGTGTACATGAAGTATGCGACTTATTTGTCACACACATTGTCTTGTAACAAACTAGCACAAATGGCTGCCACACTTCTAATTATGGACTTACACTTTTGTTCCTATTTTCCTGTTGTTTAATGGCTCCCAGCTGAAGAGTTGTTTCCACTGACTGTTAATTAATTGATCACTAGAGAAAGTCTGGAGTTTGGAGCATTTCAATTTGAGTCAGAATGTAGTAAAAAACTACTGAGAGTCTTGCTTTTTATATACAAGTGCAATACTTCTGGAATAAATGTAATTCTAGTCTGCAGTGAGTATAGGAGGCTCAAAGTTCTTTCGAAACTGTGCCGTCTTCCTGATTAAATGTTGTTGGGACACGTCACTACCACACAACGTGGCCTATTCACCATGACCCAGTGTTGTATTATCAACTGCCACCCCACCCAGTCTGCTCGGACCTGCAGCGTGTACACTGCCCATCCCTCGTGATTAAGGTTGCATATCCAATCTAAAAAACAGTGGATCAGTCTGGTTTCATTAAGCATTTGTAGTGTAAACACTTCTTTCTCAAAATAGTTACATCACTTTTGAGTAGCTGGGCATTACATCAGTAATGTAATACTGGGCTTTTCTGCTGCTTGATTTGCTGATGACAGTGTGGCAAGGACTCTGTCTTCTGGTATTTCAAAACTTAGCTGCACCTGATTATCCTGATAGGTAGGCTTGCTTTAAGTTTTCAAACAAAAGAAACTCCACTTAAATCGTCCACCAGTTTACATTTAAGGTGAAGAATCAGCCCTAAGCTAATGCTTCACTTTGTATCAGCAATGCTTAAGTAATTCCTGAACTTTAGTGGTTTACCTTGACAGTGTTAGCATAGGTAAAACTCCAAAGACACTGCTGCATCTCATGTTTTGGAGTTTCCGATTGGTGTGGTTGTGTTGCAACATCTCCCTCTGCACAGTCTGGGACTCTTTGGGCCCCTGTACTGATCTGTCATTGAAATGGCTGTTAAAACCATCACAATCTTGCACGTCTTGACAGCTGCGAATACCAAAATGGCCTTTAGACTACATTGCAGGGACTGTTGGCGTGTGTCGTGAGGATTGTACTTACACTGCAGCTAGTCTGTTCTTGTAACACGGGCCATGGCATGTGTAATTCTTTAGTGATCACAGGGAAATAACTGTTGGCCAAATAGCAAGTGAAACTAATCTCACATCTGAGGTGGTGCAAATAAAGCAGATTTGAGGGATAAATTGCTGTTTATGTGGATGAGGCTTTAGTTTTGGCTGTGTCACTAAATGGAGCTCAGTCATGCTGTGTACCCATCAGTGGAGGTTTTCTTCGTTGCGTTGATTTGTGCAGAAGCAGGCTGCCCACCAGTATGTTGTATGGAGGGCAATTTATTTAAAATGAAATGACATTACAAGATTTTTTTT